TAAATAAAAACAGTTTTCAGGTGTTTTTATATCTAAAAAAATTATTTAGAAATATAAATGCAAGGGTAAAGTTACTAACAAAATTATTTTGTGACGTCAAACCCAAAAGGACGTAAACAAACAATCGAGATAGATTAGGGTTTTAAGATATGGACCTGCCGCCATCTTCGCAACCAAATTCGATGTCGTTGAAGCCTATGCTCTTAGCAAATCTAACACTACTCACGGCCATCTCGATGACTTCTTCTTTAGTCTTTTTCAACTTATATTTCATGTGAATGTCACTAGTAGATGCGAATATGGTTATCCTCGGCCTCTTCGCGTACTTCACCGACTCCCAAGCCGCCTCAATGTCGCTATGTTTGCATCGTGCGATGACGCATATCACGGGGACGTAACCTGTTTCCTCATCCACCTGAGAAAAACACAAGATAGATGTTTTACATGCATGGTTAAATATCATTTGTGCGTGTATTCTTTGCGCAAAAACCATGGTAATATCCGTTCAATATTTTATCAGATGTCCCGTAAGGACAAGGTTAACTATATATAGTTTGACCAAAAAAAACTTTATATTAAAGTCAAGGACAAGGTTCAATCCCGGTTTAATGAAATGAAATTAATTTCGATCAAAAAAAAAGTCTAAGGAAATAAAGAAAAAACCTCGTTCAAACTTTATATTATATACAGAAGATAGATGTTAATTTACATGCATGGTTAACTATATTCATTTCTGCGCGTATACTTACCAAAAACCTTGCTAATAACCGTTAATCAGATGTCCAAGTAAGGCTAACTCTATAAGGTGAACATAAAAACTTTATATTAGAAAGTGAATGAAATAAAGAAACAACCTCGTTCCCCACGGTCTTGGCAATGGTTTTGATGATTTCAAACTCTTCCTCAGATGACACCGGAAAACCAACTTCCATGACATCTACTCGGAGTTTAGCGAGCTGCCAGGCAATCTCTAGTTTCTGCTGTGGAGTAAGGGATCCACCGGGAGATTGTTCACCGTCACGAAGCGTCGTGTCGAAAACACGCACATAGGCCTTGTCGGGGAGCTTGTTCGGAATGTACTCCGGCCACCGTTCCACGGCGGGTTTGAGGTCATTAGCACTAGTAGCCGCCTTTGTGGACACAGAAGAGCGACAGGAGAGGAACAAGGACGGCTTGTTATACGGACGGATCAGGCGGAGTGATCCAAAGGGTAAGAAGACTGACTGGACAACCACGGTGGGACCGGTAGTGGAGATCATACCGGGAGATGTCAGAAGTGACGAAGCCATTATGATGGAGAGAGAGAGATTTTTATTCTAATTTGGACGATAGATATAGTGAGGGACTTGTTTTGCAATGAGATAGAGAACATGCACAATATATTTATAGATAGAAAGTTCTTTTTCATGGAA